GTATAATACTATATGTTTTTATATAAATATTATATGTATATTAATAAGTTTCGTGTGAAGATAAATTTTTGTCCCTTTCCTGAACGAAATTCTGTGGGTACAGCCTATTATTTCTCATAAATTGGCATATCGCAGCGATAAAAATAAAATTAGAATTTAAACGCGACGACAATGACCGCGACATCGTCAAGAGTCAATCATGTTGGATGAAGGAAAAATCGTTGCTGCGATAATAATAACCGCGCGCGATTTTCCGCTCATTCCGCACGTCTGCCGCATCTAATTACTTGACGTGTGCGAACTGTCAGCGAACTCCGCGCGTTTGCATTCAGAGCGCACCTTATAACCGTTCGAACAAATTCACGAATTATTCAGCACAGCATAGCTCTCTCATTCGTCAATTTCCATGTAATTGACAAATGAGAGCATTTCATGCTGATTCCCTTAAACAACAGTTGGAGCTTTTATGCAAAATCATTAAATGCGCACACATTTTGCGCAAATCTGCGCGGTGTAATGAATAATGGAGAAAGGAAAGTAATTTTCGGTAACAGAACGATACAAAACTTTGTATTTTGCAAATTGTAATCGCAAACATTCTAAATAAAAAGAAGAGTGATTATGTTTTATCTTTTCCGTGACAACGACAGCCTTTAACAGCAAATTGAAGATTTCCATTAACATTTAACATAGATATTAGTTGATCGAAAGTTTGTTTCAAATTTATAGCTCAAAATTGTACATACACGGAGAAAATTTTATATTAAGTTTTAATACAATTTTAAATTACATTTTACTATGTCTTGTATTTTCGGATGGATCCACACAACAATATTCCGCGACATAACTTTTATTGTGGTAATACTATTTTATTACGTAATTTTTATTAAACCAGTGCTTAAGCCATGGAAAAAATTAATTTTTACTATGGTACGCAAATAATATTTGCTAGATATATATTTTTTATTATCTTTACAATACTAACTTTTATTCAACAAGGTGTGATTTTGTAATAAAAAATTTTACTATAAAAAAGTGTAAAAATTACTTTATATTATTGTTTTTAATAAAATGGTTATATTTAAACTTATAATTACACGATGGTCCGCAGTTTCTACCACATTATAGTAATTTTAAATATAAAATTTTCTCCGTGTACATTTTCGTAAAAAAATGAACGAAATTTAAATTTAAAAAAGGATTTTAAAGCTTGACGTTTCTACTTTCGAAAGATTAAAATATATATCTAATCTCTCTAATTCTGAATCAGTAAAGTTGAATTAAAAAAGAAAGAAAATTTGATAATATAGTATATCTAAAATATACTGATATGTAGGTTAATTTCAATCTTTTATTGAATTAGTAAATTTCTAAAAAAAAGTTAAGATCACATGATAAAGATTGGTTAGATGAGGACTTCACATTTCATTCACTGATTATCAGTAGAATACTTGGTACTAATATCCGTGATTATCTACTAATTCAGATTTAGAGATTGTAAAAGTTTCATTTGCATGTAAAACGATAAAAATCGTGCAATAAAAATTATTACCCTGTGAGTCAAGATGCAAATACGAGAGTTTTAATAAATTCATTTAATTCTCACATCAAACTGTAGGTAAGTCAAATGTAAAACAAGTTATTATTTTGTTTTTAAGGATGCTGGAGTGATCAAATTATTGACATTACAGTCGTATAAAAATTTCGGAATTGATTCTGAATGGAAAAAAATTTTTTTATAGGATTAAAGGTAAAATAGGGAGATGGTGCAGACTTTATATTAAAATCGAAACAAGTTAAAAACTTACTTAACTCTTTTTTCGATTTTAATATAAAATCTGCACCACCTTTCAATTTTGCGTCTATTTTACTTTAATCTTGTAAAAAGATTTTTTATTTCGTTCGGTCAATTCGGAGATCTACTAAAAAAAATTTCATAAACGTGTGTGTGTTTTAATTTATCTAACAAAATTAAGCATAAATATCGTATTTTTTAACAGTTTTAAAGTTTGTCTGATGGTCTCAACACAAAATATTATTTTTTAAGACAAGACTGAGTGTAAACTATTGAAATGAAGAAGTATTATTGATACTTGGATTACACAAATTACAAACAGGTTTAATCAAATACGCTCAGGCAGTAAAATGGTTTATTATTATACCTCCGATTCGCACACAACAAAGACGTTGGCATATTAATTACGCTCGTATTAATGTAAAATACGCACGTTGCATTGTTTTGTTCATTCCGGAATGCGCCCGTTGAAATACGCTCGTTAAACGATTTGGTGATGCCATAAATTGCCGATTGCTATGCATAGTCATGCAATATATTCGAGAAACAGAAAGTATCAAAAATTATAGAGTAATATCTTTACGATCGGGTTACATTATTAGATTGCTCCAAATTCTAATCTGTAAAGGACTTTTGTAAAAGGGAAATTAATTTCTAAAATATATATTCCGCAATTATTATATATCCATTTTTTACAGCATATCATTCAATCAATGTTTAAAAAATAATTTTTTAAAAATATATTTTAATATATATTATATTTTTATTTTTCTAACATTCATTTATTATTCTCGTTGCCACATTATAATTACAAATATTTTTTATTGATCTATATGTACATTTTATGCTGTTCTTCATGATGTAAACGTGTAACGCGCAGTTTCTTTTATTTTTGAGTTTTCTCATAAATACACATAATTACTTTCAACTCCGCAATAGGACTGTTTAATACCATAAAGATTAAGCCAACTTAATCTTTATGGTCTGTTTTATAGACAGATGTGCCAGTTTACGCTGCATCCCGATTTCAACATTTTAAACCGTATTATGAAAAAAATAAGAGAGAAAAAACGTAAATAAAACTGATTTAGAAAACTATAAACATGTAAAACAACGTAATACAATATTATCAATAATATAAACACTATTATTTAAACAATGCAATTTGCAAAAGAAGATTATATAAACATTTTTTTGCATTTATAGAATTCGTATTTAGCTGATTTCGTTTAGAAATACACCACAATATTGTATATAAATTATGAGTTTTTATTCTTTCAATTATTTAAACAGTTTTTATCCTAATTAATAAAATGTAATAGTTAGTTTCCGACAAATAAGAGGAATGTCTCTTAGGAGACCTGTCTATGTCTATCGACAACTTTGCTCTACTATAGTTAGCAAGATTGTCTTTGCGAGTTATTTAACATCATCCGCTTTAAATGCTGGCGAAGCAGTATTTCACGTAGCATAGAAATTTCGCCACGGCAGGGAATCGCATTTTCTTTCGGATTTACAATAAGAGGCATAAAATAATCAGGTCGGGGTGGCTTGTTACAGAAAAATATCTGTTACGCATACTGTACGTGCTTCGGATACAATTCGGGAACGGTATCCTTCGGGAATTTGGTTGGATGAAAAGACCACTGCTGAAAAGGCGGGTGGACGCCGAATGGGTCGAACCTCGGCGAGGAATTGAATTACGTTTCGTTAGAGCCGGCATAATAAAAGGAAGATAATAGCCGGCGGTAAAATGGGTACATCAAGCGTAGCTGATACCAGGCATGGTCTGCCTGCAAATTACAGGCCTATCACATCAATTTCTCATTCATCTATTTCTACTTTATATTTCATGTTGATCAACTCGACAAGAATATTCTAATTTTTCCTTTTTATTTTTAAGTTTTATCTTATCTTTTTCTTTCCCCTAACAACAAAATTAATTAAAGCTTCAACATACATTAATAAAAAATATGAAAAAAAAAAATAAAATAGAGTAAAACTAATAAATAAAATATGAAAGTTTATCATTTAATTTTACACGAAAATAATATATTTAGAAACGATTAATCGTAATAATATTTTAAATTGAAATAGCATTGTTTAATTACGTAATTTGTACAAATCTTGAAATAATTATACAAATGAATTAATCATAAAAGTGAAGTTATTAAAAAATATAATTGCATAATAAAAATATTTTTCTATTTGTAACTTAATTGATTGCAATTTTTGCTACCCAAGAGGCAGTTAACGAGGGTCTCAAGGATGGTTGAGGTTTTCTCACAATCGACTGTAATTCGAGTTCGATCGCCTATAAGGCCACCAGAGAACCCGCCTTTTAAACGGCCTGCACGTTCTGCCTTTCATCTTCTCGAGTCTTCCCACGCTAGATATTACGCTTTTTTGTAGACCCAGCTAGAAAACGCGATGCTACCGGCGATATCAGGCTATTTTTACGTCGCCAAATGATCATAAGGCGAACGGAAAAACGCTTGCGAAAAACAATAGTTATGCGAACAATAAGTCGACAATGTGTCTTGTGTGTGTGATTTACACACAGTTCATTAAATTGCTCGTTTTGTTCAGGGAAAGCAAATAAAAATTTCGATTTATCGACATATTTATAATTAAAAAATTATCCCACATGTGCAATAAATATTTGTTACAATAATTAAAACTCATATTACATATTGCAATTAAAACAGAGAGCAGAGTAAACATTATATTTTATAAACTTTTTAGTTCTCTATTTCCTTTCTAATTTATTTCTCTACTTCTATTCAATGTGAAGATATGAAAACAGAACAGAAATAAAATAAAATAAAATTTGCTTTTGTGTGTGTGTCTGTGTATAAAAGTTCATAAAATAGAACACAATCAATTACTGACATCAAACTTGATCGATGAGGGCAAACAACGGCAACTTAAATTTAATTTATACTTAAGCGATCGAGAATTGAAAACTTACTTTGGACGATTCGGCTAGAAGTAGTATCGCTTTAATTTTAATTTCCTGTACGCACGCGTGCGAGGAGATTAAATCGTCAGTAAAGGATATACCATGCGTGAAAGGGTTAATGCACTGGGATGAACAAAGGTCGGGTGTATCGCAGCAACCCTAGGATGGCGGGATAAGTGATCGACGCATGTACACGGATTATCTTGTCGTGTGGATCAGTTATGGTATTTCTGACGGACTTACCATTGATCACGTGCACGGTGACACTTGCTCCCTCCGCCACGGTAGGAACGCAACTGTAGTTTCCGGAGTCACTGAGCTTCGCATGCGTGATCCTCAATCTGCCGCACAAAAGGTAATATAGTTTATCGCTACGTTGTACGTGGAACGTGTAAATTACAATGCATATCTGATTTATATAACTGTCATTAAATCGGATACGGTAAATGCAATATAAATGTAAAATTTTGGAAAATATCTAGATAATAATAAAGATTGAGCGGTTTTTACAATACAAAAATGCCGCTTTGAAGAAAACAACAATTGTAGTGTCATGAGAGAAATACTACGAAGCCTCATCGTTTTTACACACGCTGTATATGAATGAATTTGCATTTTATTGTATTAATAATGAATGCTGAGCATTTAGGTAAAGGCTCATTTTTTATTTCGTTTCTCTTGTACTAAACAGTTTATCTGCGCATGATCGGTTTCATTAAAAATGTGACTTAAAATAAAATTAGGGAGTATTAATCTTAATCTCAAAAAGGAAAAGATACAACGAAAGGAGTGACGTATACGGAACCAGAAAATTACTACTTGGTCGTTAAGGATGCCATATATGGACCTAGCTCTTTGAACCTTACTCTGTGAAGGATTTTCTTTCGTCTCGCTTCGTATGCTATCAAAGAAAAGTCATTTTCCAAGAGATAAAAATATAAAATTTTCTAGAAAATAGTAAATATAAAATACAAACATAAAATTAATTACAAATACAAACATTTCCATGTATAAATTTGATAAAAAGTATATCATTCTACTATTTTTAATAGAATTAAATGTACTTCTATAGAGAAATTAATGTGTACATATATAATTATATTATAAAACTATATCATACTTTTCATAATTTGCTGTATCATGAAATCGCGTTGTATGTATGTTCTACAAAATTGTTTTGATATCGTGTTAGCGGCATATATATAGTTTTAGAGTAGTATGAAATACAGAATCATATAAAATAACTAATAACACAACTAACAATAAACTATCATTAATTTTGTAATAATTATCCATGACGTTAATAGCGGTAGCGATCCAATTACCTGTTCTCATCTCTGCACAGTGCATCATACATATTTTTGCTGAAGGTATCTCTGATACGTATGACGTAAATTCCATAATTTTCACGATTTCTAAATGCGATTTAGAGATATTTATATATTATTAATAAACTCTGTGCAATATAAAATAAAAACAACACAAGACATTTTTAATAAGTAATAAATGTTAAAAAATTAAAAATAACTGATAAATAAAATAATAAAAAGATAAGGATTGTAATTACTTTACTGAAATTTATAACTTTGTAAAAACCAAAATACTGTAACTGTAAAGATTAATATAAATAATAATTATTAAATGGTGATATATTATTTAATTTCTTTTAAACGTCACACTTACGAAAGTAACAAACTGTAGTATATTTACTCAATTCGATTATAATTTTCATAAAAAGAACCACATCATAAAATATTTTCTTCCAATCAAAATGTTAAATATTAAGGAGTGTAGCTATGTTTAATAGCAAATGTATATATAATGTATCTTTATCAATAAAAATAATATAAGCAATGAAAAAAGCATTGGAAAAGTATTGGAAATAGAAGCTGAATATACCATATCGAAAAGGCACTTATTAAACACCGTAGAATCATAATAATTTCTATCATCTTATCGGAAAATTTTGTAATTATAAATTTTATATTTAACTACTTCGTCGTGTTTTCAGATATAAATTTTGTGGCTGTGTATCGTAACAGTCGTCACTTGGAGTTTACATTGCGTTCCACCAAACTTCAATCAACTCGTTCAGCGGTAATAATCGAGCAGACTAGAGAGAACAGAGAATTTTTTTATTCTTTTTTCATTTTGTTTGTTAGATACTCGTTACTGTTATGTAACAAATTAGATTGACCAATAGAAATTGGAACGAGCTCGAATTCTCGTGGTGTATCGCATGGTGGAAGGCTTTTGCGAGTGCGATGCGAGAACGCAATTCCTCAAATATGAATATGAAATATCGATCTGAACGCTCGATACATAACACATTAAAAAAAGCCTGTAACGGCTACCAAATGTTAATTAAATATTTGATAAATATATAATAAAAGTTATTTTACTTTTCCAAATATTTGACAAGTGACATCAAATGATGATTATATTATTATTATGTTTGGTAACATCTATTAAATATTTGAAAAAATAAAATTATTTTTGATTATATTAACTAAACGTTTAGAGCTACAATTATTTCATTCAACATTTCATAACTATTATTAGACTTTTTTCAGTGTGTAAAGAAAAAATTGCAGCCAAACTCGACGCAGAGACATTAATAAATTGTACGGTTGCTTTGCACTAATCGCGAGAGGGAGAAATACGTAATTACACGCGCGAGCGATAAAGTCGCGGATACGCAAAAGTTAATCGACAGTCAGCTAATTTAACGGCCAACTAGCTGGAAAACCGAATATGGTTCCAAATGATTCTATCGCATTAAGAGGGAATTCTCTCGCGATTGTTTGTTAATCGAATGAAAAACTACTCAAAAGTTTTTACATTTTTATCGTTTCTAGTTCAATAATTATCTTTGTTAAACTTTCAATTTGAACATACCGAGGAAGAAAGAATTGCAGAGATTTAACTTAACGCGTCTTTCTCAATAAACGCGAAAGAGGAGGTAAAAGTTTGAGAAAAGTTTTAATTAATATCGTCAGTATACAAATTTTCGATTACAGATATTAATATCAATAATTACCACCACTCACTAATTATTCTCATTAGTGTATTTCTAATATGCACGTGCTGTTTACAGTTATTGTATTTAGAGAAGCGACACATAGTTTTGCTGGGTAAGTAAGATATACGAAGACAACAGGGATATCCTTTACACGATATATAACGTCACGTGAAGAAGTTGCGCCGCTCCCAACAGCTTATCGATTACTCATTTACTTCCCGTATTTCAGTAGTTCGCTTCATCGCGCAATGTAATGCATCGCACTCGTGGGACCAATAACCGCCGCTTAAGGCTACGGTAACGCTATTCCACGTGCGGTTACCGCAATTCCGTGAACTGAAAGTACCACGAAATAATTATTACTATGTCAGTACAACGACGAGCTGTAACGGTGGACTCGATGTAGTCCGAGGGTAATGGAAATGTATAGCAACGCTGGATTAAGCTCTTCGCCACCATCTTCATGGTAGAAGGAAAGGTAATCTCGATACGACGGAATAAAACGTTATCCGGTTACACGTTAATATTATCGAGAGCACGAACGATTTATGCGCGTGCATGAAAATTCAGGATTGAAACCAGCGCCGGGATTGAAAATCAGGTTCGTAGATTAACTCCTCGCGTTAATGTGGAATTTGAATATCTCTTTATGGCTGTGAATAATGTATTTATTCTGGAAATATATGTGGGAATATTATTGCCGGATAATATAATGTTCATAAACTCCTCACGCATTTCATACTATTCCTAAATTTAAACTTGACATGAATTAAAAAAGAACGCAAATAGAGAAATTTTATTCATTTAAAAGAATTTTAAAAAAAGGCTGCTAAACATTTCTTTTTAAGTTTAACTTTGCGGAATGCCGATGATAGTAAACTCGGATATTTTCTTAACTATGTTGTGAAAAATTGTTTATAATAATAAATTGTTTATAATATAATTATAATATTTTCCACAACTTTGTATATAATTTTAAATTAAATAATTTTATTGCTTGTACTTTGATTTTTAAAAGAAAAAAAATCGTTTAGTTAAGTTAACTTTAAGTTAAAGCAATACATATATATATATTAATTTAAAGTAGGTATACACACCAAACCTGCGATTACCAGTTAAGGAAATTTGGAAGTAAATACCAATTAGAATTCAATGTAACAATCTAATGTTAACAAACATGTCGCGTATGAAGATGTAAGCACCACCAATCATGTCACATCAACGACATTATCATTATGAGAACGTATCGTCCGCTGTACTTTCAGACAGTCCCATCGAATTTACTGAAAGCGGACGTTTGCATGACGGAAGTCGCGGGCCGACAGCTGCGCGACAATTAATTCGCTTCTTGGGCTGCGGCCCCGTAAATTTGCCGCGATGTGTAACGGCATCGTTGTGATGTGAAACGTAATCGTCAATCACGTCCAAAAACGGACGCGCGGCGGACACAACGGCGACGATGGCGACGGCGGCGCAATATTCGGACCGACACAAGCGACCTGGCTGAACAGCCAGGTCGCCCGAAATGCGGGGCATGTCCGATGCGTCTTCACGGTGCGCGAGCCACGTGACAAAGGACTCTGTTGTCTCGGATCTGCCCGGGACAATTAGAATAATCAGATGTCATGTGACGCCACAGCGCCGTCGCGATGTCTACCCTCTCCTGGTTTCTATCAAGCAATTTCAATAGATAATTTTTTAATAAATTGAATTCTTGATTCTTGAATTCTGAGTGGAAACAATGAACATAAACAACAATTGTAAAACACTGATCGCTGTTTTTTTTTTGTATTTTCAAATTTTTTTAATATATGTAATTCATGTTTGTATTTCAAAGTGCATTTTTTTTGTATGTCCATGTATGTACGAAAAGAATGGCTTTGCTGAAATATGTACCTAAAAATTTCGTTACAGATACACATCTGAAAATAATTTTGTTGAACTATTAAAACTGTTTAACATATCAAAACTTTGCAGCATTGCTCATCATGCATGAGTTCTCTTTATAATTAATACTTAAGTATTTTCCAACAAAATTATTTCTAGATTTGTAACTGCGTAAATTTTTAGGTCAGTTTTAGATGATCGTAATTAATCTTTTCGTATAAATTTAAAATCCTTGAAATACTTTTTTACGCTTTAAAAGTAGAAAAAAAATGTGCGCGGTTTGAAGATGGCTCTTTATGTAGAATTGTACAATATTTATGTCTTATTTTAAATATTAAATATTAAATTGAAAATATTAAAATTTTAAATAAGCGCGAGCGTGACACACATGCCATGGTAGACAGTGCGCTGGTCTATCACGTTAGAGGATCCGGGTTCGAGCCTGGTAGAAACCAAAATATTTACACTCGTGTCTTCTCTCGGAAAAGACTGGCAATCTTCCGAGAGTATCCTTACCCCACAGAAACATCTCTCGAAAAATCCGCCGTTCAGAACCGACATTAAAATTGTAGATCCCATATGCTTGTGACAATAATCAGAATGCGCACCACAAGCATATGAGAGAGGTGAACAATAGAGACCTAACGTAAGGGGAAGAAGAAATTTTAAATATTAAATTTTATCACACATTTACATTGCTGTTTCATGCTAAATAATTATTTGACATTATACAGTAATGCCTCTAAATGTCCAAAAAATTACATGAATTTACAGCAGTATTGAATTAACATTCATGTTACATTCAGCGCGTAAACGAGTTGTAAATTTTAATGGATAGAATAAATTCTCTGTCATGATTGTTACCAGCGAATGCTTTGACGACATATCGCATATTTTTAAGGTAGTTGCAGTCCCGCGAAGCCAGGCGTATCTCGAAATAAATTAATTTGAGCGTGGGATCAGTTTTTCAAAGAGCCACGACGACGTGTAGGACCGGCGGGACAACCACCCAGCACGCCATTATTTCTCATTATTTCCCTTGGGCGCGGGAGGGGATAAGCGGAGGACCATTTATTTATTTCGCCGGCAGCTCGAAAAAGATATGGTTACAGCGTGTGCGATGAAATATTATACACGCGACGGATGGTTCGATGTGAAAGGGCTGTAGAGAGAGAAAAAAAAAATGCTTTGACGACGAACGACTGAAACCAATCGCGTTTGACGAATATTTACCACGCTTGATGAAGTAACAAGGAAAAAAAAGTATGTACTAGCTAAACGTGATTGATATTACATTTTAATATTTCATGACGTTTTTCAGCTGTTCGTCGGTCGAGCTTATTTTAACGCGGAGTAAGCGTGTTATTGCGTTGCGAGCCCTTCACTGAACAATTTTACAAAATTGCGGCGTGCATATCGTTCGGGGCATAACGCGCCTGGTCGCGTTGTAGAATCCAGCTTTTAAAACGCGCCGCTGATGCTGTGACAAAAATTGAAATATTTAAACTACGTTAAAATGTGACTGCCGCAAATATATGGCGCGCGTGATCTTTATTTTTTATTTATTCGATGTATCCGCTTGACTGGAGCCGGTGTAAAAAATTAAATAGCACTTCGTACAACAATATCACACGGGTGCGCACATTTATGAGAGTTTCCTCCGGCGGTATAGCGATGACACCGAAATGTGCGACAAGCATGACGAGCTTTTTTTTATTTCGTTTATAGCGTGCAAACAAGTTTCGCGTTAACTAAGTTTTTGATGTTAATATAAATCATAGTATACGCTGTCGCGAGAGGGATGCACAGCCGTGAGTACACGACGAGGCTTACATACGAAATGATTGCTCATATTGACAAATTTGTCCGTTTCTTCTCTATAATACAAAATATCTTTCTCTATGCGCAAAGCGAAATTTTATTATAATTATTGTTGAAAATAATCGTTTTAAATCAAGTGTAATAAATAATTATTTAGAAAGCAAATGGCTTAATCATTCATATTCGTACTTCGACGTGAGGGCGTCACTCCATTCCGTCTCGACGGTTATGCGAGGCTCCGTTTCGATGTCATTTTCTGATCGCGGTGATGTCACCACCGCATCACTTCCTCGATACCAAGCTACCGTTCCCAGATCGTGGGGACCTTGCGACATGAGACACGTCAATGTCAAAAGACTTCCGGTCTTCACGTAGATATCAGCTTGGCCGACTATTCTGGCTCTCGCTTCTGTAACAGAAAGCAATTTTGAGTTAAATAATGGCATTAGTTCTAACGAGTATCAGACTTAACTTAAATATCGATTAAAGATTTGCTCAAGAAGACTCACGAAGTTTAAAAACATCTTTGCACGTATCTGTGTATACGTCTGATAAAACATCGCTGCACTTGCTTCTCTTTAGGAAAAATATGCGATTGTCTATCACGTGAGATTTTGTGATCACGAAGTGCAAATGTAATTTTACAGGATATGGCGAGACACAAACACATAAAACAGCAGCGTGTAGGAAAAATAAATCGGCGAGAGACAGTTTTAATCATCGGACGCGTTCGTTTACGCGAGTTTACACGTGTTGCGTCGAACTGCTCGATAAAGCTATATCACGATGTAATAAAAGGTGCGTGATTAAGTTGAAAAAAATTGATGGCGAACCACAGATACGGCGTTATTGCTGGTGCAGCGGTGTCCGATTAAAAGTACCGATAATTGATAAAACACGACCAATTATCTACCAGCGGTTTTATAATAGTTGCATTGACAAAAGAATATTTGTATATTTAAGAATATTCATAAGAATACGATGTATATTTGTATATTTACTATAATCACAGAATAAATAGCAGTTATTCTTTCTGTGAGCGAACTTTAATAACTCGGCAATATCTTAAGTATACCTTTATACAATAGTTTCCTGAGATATTTTAACGTCGTATAATTGCACACTATTTAATTTTTTACATAATTGGAAAATTTGTTTTAAATTTAATATATTTCACTTGTTTGAAGCGGTCCACTCAAATTTTTGTGTTATTTTTTAGTACAAGATAAATATGTTACAAAATAACATAAATATCATGTAAAAAAATTAATACATCAAAAAATATGATACTGACACAATTTATAGCAAACTGTAGAAACATATTTTTTCAGTAAAATTAATATTTATGGTATGTTAAATTGATATGTGTTTTATTCATTTATCTTATTGTTAGAATTTACGTTTCAAGATATATTATTTTTATGTCGTATGGTCACTTAGCTAAATTATACTATTTCGACACTAAGAAATATTGAATATTAATTTAACAAAATTTTAACAAGAACCTGAGTGGATTTTATCACAAATATAAAATATTTTCCGTGTATCTTTATATTTCTTATAAATTATAAATTTTTTTTATTCATAATAAATTATCTTTAATAGTATGAATATCGATTTGCAGTCGCACACCGATGCATCATCTGCATAAAGAGACTCTTTAAAAAACGTCGACAGTGCACCCCGATGATGTTCGATCGATAAGTCACACAGCACGACTGTCCACCTTTCATCCAGAGAATTCTCCTCGTCACGGCTGGCCGTTCGGATTTTATATCACATTGCGATGACCGGGCGCATTCTTGCGGAGCTGTCATCCCGAGTCATAGAACCATGTCTCGATTCTATCACAAGAGGTAAAATGGATGTGTCGAATTTGAAAAAGATGCGTAGCTTAGCTTTGCGAAGCGATAAAAAGGGCATTGAAAGGCAAACCATCTACATGACCAACTTTCGTACTAACGTCACAATACTATCTTTGAAACGCTGATATCAAGTTAAGCGATCGACACAAATAATTTTGTACTGTTAATCAATCATAAATATAGCCAGTATGGCACGATTAATTAAAACGCAATATAATACAATTGGTTTACCAATAATTCAATATAAATTTTGATTTATGTCCGTTATATTTATCTAAAAAAATGAATTTTTACTGCGTATTTTTACATGAAATATTTTACTCTCTAAAGTAGAAATTTTATTAAACTTTCATTAAAAATTTTGTTAGAATTAAAGAAACAATTATGTAATCGTTAATTTGACGTATGTAAGAAAGATTTGTCAACATAAAAAATTTCTTCAAATTCTCATCAAGGAAGTTCTCGCAATATTGAACTATATTCCTATTGCTAGATATTATTGGTGTCATATCACGCGGGTTGACGGTTTCGAATATGCTGTCAAGATTAGAAGAGATAGGAGATCGTCACAACTTCTTTTTGATATTGGCATCACTAAAAAAATTGCGCTTTTTTTTATCTTTTTAATATATTATAATCCAATTTTATATTTTCAAAGTATCTTGATCTGTACAAATGCAGATAAAGATAAATATTTTATCGTATATATTATCCCTGCATTTAATTTAGATTAATGTATTTTGAACTTGGTTAGCATTTTTTAAAATTAAAAAATACTTATTTGGAGAGCACGTTAAATAATGACCAAAAAAAGATCTTCTTTGTGAATAAAGCTTATACCTTAATAAGAACTTACATTTCATATTCTACGGATCGTATGAGTCGTGCTTAAAAGCGATAGCTTTTCCATGTCGTCCACGTCTTACCGAAAAGTCTTTTACGAGGTTTCGATGAGGTCCGACCAAGTTTTACTGAAAGATCGCCGTTTGTGATGCAAAAGATGCGCTGACCGTATTCTGACAGGTCGTTTTTTTCCGCCTCGAAAGGCCATTACCTTTACATTACGCTGTATTGGAGATTAGTTTCTTTGTGACCCGACGGCGCATCTATCTCTCGTTTCCTACTGTCTCCTACATGGTGTTTACGCTGTTCTAGATCGATAGTCTACGATGGTATTTTGTACGAAGCAAGGAGGAAACAATACTGCTTCTTCGAAGTTTTTGTACGCAACACGCAAACTTAAACTTATCGTTAATTCATCGTCGTATATATTTCACGAGTAATATAAATCGGTTTTCAATTTTCTCATTCTTATGAAAGAAGCTTACGTGCAATAGCAAAAAAAAACTTAATCTAAAATTATTTTTATATTAGTTATTCATATATTTCATATATAAATTAATGGCTAATTAATTAATACAATTTTTATATTAAATTTAAGTGTTCTCGTTAAAATTGTCTAAAAATATATACATTTTGCTTTCAGGATTCTAATAGTTTGGAACAAAAGTCACATAAGCAATAAGTCACAAAAAACGATGATATCTGTTGAGGATTTATTTCTAATGTTATTTTGTTTTTTGACCGACTTTCATCCGCAGCGTAATAAGATAATTTTAACGAAACAGAAGGTTACGGTTGCTTCACTATGTATCTAATTGCACCCGCGTTACAACTGTCAGATACATAAACACAGCTGGCTGGCGCTAATGGAAGTTCAACGTGGCAAATAATCGATTCCAGTTTGCGCAACATTACGATGATGTAGATTACGCGAATAATTCTCAGTTCAGTTACGTATCATCGTCGGCCGGCGTACTTGCCAGGATAATTACTTCGCGCAACTTGTGCTCACGTTCGCGATAATAATAATACTAAATTAACGCATTTGAATAAAAGAGAGGTAATAATTATATTGTACGTGCTATCATTTCATTTGTATTATATATAAATTTATAAAAAAATTGCAAAAGAAAAAGTAAATATCTTAATTCATAAATATATATACATACGTATAAAATTTCGATTTTGTATATTTTAATAAAAATTAAAGATTTGTAAATATCTGATGCATTTAGATTTTTGAAATTTTTTTCTAATTGAATTCAACTTGATTATTCGAGAATTTAAAGATTATAAAATATATTACAAAATTCGGCTGTGTTAAGTTGTATGTTCTTAAATTTTTTTGAGTAATAAAAAATTGATTATTCAATATACACGTGACAAAATATTCTCAAAGTTTACGAAGTAACCGGATTCCATGCACAACTGCTAAGAAAACACCGACTATAAGAAAGCATCTCTATATTCCCAATAAGAGCTGGTTACTAACGCATTTGATGCCACTTTTACACCATTGTTGCCAAATTTCATTAGCCGCACTTTCGTTATAACTAATATTATTGCACAGAGATATGCAATACTGTGCCTCTTCATTCAAGATTACGCATTTCACGATCCCCGTTGTATGCTTTGTCTCCAGGTTGTTCATGCGCGTGCTTGCTATTCACTAGTATAAGGAGAAATTGTGTCGGGTCTGAGTGGTAGTATAGCAGTAGAGAACAGATTCCAATTTACAGCGCGTAGGAACAAGGAGCCCTTAGATGCAGCTAATCCGATGTACGGAACGGCGTACACGGATGTATCAGCCGTTTAAGCTGCTTAACGTCAAAGTGACTTGAGATGCCTGCAAGTAGTAAGTTCAAGTGGGTGTAACTTGTTTTATTGTATGACACGTGTTATTTAGACGGTTGCAAATGATACGCTCACTTGATGAATGGCGAAGTATCGGTGTCATGTCGACGTAGCAATATTGCAGTAATAACTAGCAGTATTTTCTCAATGTTTCCATTGTTTCAGGTTCGTTATAAAACATTGACGGCGCTAAATTTCAAGTTCTTTTTTTTACAGACTATAGGAAATTGACGCAATTTTTTAGAAATAACAAAATTAATATACATATTTAATTTGATATCGATTTTCAAAACATATTGAGACAATAAACAAATGTGACGGTCATATATTGTATTTCTTTATTCTAAGAGATATACGCGCTAAAAGAGATCGACATTCACATATCGAAAGAGGTTGGTAAATGTTGATCTAGTCGGATACGCAACGCCCCTCGCCGGAAGTATATCTGGCGAATCGACTTATCACTTCGTGACGGCAGTTCTTGGTACATTTATTTTATCCTCCACGAAATCCTCGTACGGTGAACCAATAAACCGGTAAAGTTCCGTTCAGGCGAGCCGAATCGTGCGAGGCACAGATTGAGTTCTCAGTATATCTGTCGCACTGCAGCTCGAAATTCGTCTCGAACTCGGTTAAAGTCGCGCACAACCGATAGACAAGTTTTCTTGGACATTGTTAAAGTTAGAAACACAATAAATCCGGCCGATTTCTGATATAAAACGCTTTTTCAGTTGTCAGGAATACACAGTGGCCGAAATCAACGGTATTTCCTTACCGACTCGACAAAG